GCGCGGCGGGAGCGGCCCCCGCCCCGGAGGCGGCGGGGAAACCGAGCCGACCGAAACAAGCACCGTATACACACCGCACGTAGATTATTATTATTATTATTATTATTATTATTATTATTATTATTATTATTAGTTTTTCTTATTTTAAAGATTTTATTATTTTGATTCATTTTATTATGATGATTTTTTCCTTTTTTATAATCTTTTATTATATTTTAATTTTATTTATTATCATTATTTCTTGAGTTGCTCAGTGTTGGCTGCCCAGCATGAGGCGGGCCGTCCCGCAGCCCCCGCGTCACCCACTGCTGGCGCAGCAGCCGGCGAGGGCCGCTGGGCGCGGGAGAGCGGCTGCCGGGGCCTGGCGCCCAGCGTCGCCCTGCCCGCGGGCACTGGCCGTGCTGCCTGCCGCAGGAGACGGCGCTGGAAACCTGCGCGCTGCGCGTGTAGCAGCGTCTGGCCTGTCAAGGACAGCTCCAAGTTCCTCGAGGCTCTAGATATTCAGCCATTGAAGCGTTTCCCAGTTAGGTTTAATAACTCTGAATATAGAATATAAATAAATAAATATGAATACTTGAGGGTGAATGTAGGGAGGAGGGGGCCAAGCTCTTCTCAKTGGTGGCCAGYGACAGGAGCAGGGGCAGTGGGTCCAAGCTGAAGCCCAGGCAGCTCCATCTCCATGTGAGGAGGAACTTCTTCCCTGTGAGGGTGCCCAGCCCTGGCCCAGGCTGCCCAGGGAGGCTGCGGAGGCTCCTGCTCTGCAGATCTGCCAACCCRCCTGGATGGGACCGSGTGTCCCRAGCTCTGGGTGTCCCTGCTGGAGCAGGGGCTGTGCTGGGGGATCCCTAGCGGTCCCTACCAACCTCARCCATTCYGGGATTCTGTGGATATAACTCCGCGCTGCTGCTGCTGTAAGTCATGGTAGAACCTCCTAGAAATTACAGCTCGGTGCCTTCCAGCACCTTCATTAAAATGCCTTCTGCCAGAGAGCTCCTCATGCCTGCATATTAATAAGGCTGCTTAGGGATAATTAAGCAGTGACTAATACATGGGTGAGCATAACTATCCAGCACAGGCAGGAAAAAAAAAAGCATGTGATGTATAAGTAAATAAGTTGTATATGTTACTGAAGTTTTTTGACAATAAGGATCAAGATTCACTGACCCATAATAATTCAAAATAATCTTTTTTTAAATTTTTTTCATTCTTGAAGTAGATAGGACTATCTTTGTTATTGTTCTCCTTTGCATTAAGAAAACTGATGTGTGGAAAAATTGTGGAGACTGTTCTTGCCCTGCGGAGCATTCGCTGGCGGTTATGGGATGCCTGAGAGTCGATCTCCCTCTAGCGATCTCCCTCTGCATGAGGCTCGGCTGGATCTGGGAGCTAATGTGTCCTCTTCGTTATTCAGCCACAGAGAGGAGGATCTGAGGATCTGATTGATGGTTAGAACCCGGTGGCTGCTCTGAAGGATCTGTCAGATCTGCTCTCTAAGTGAAAGCATAGCACTTAAGGCAATATATGTGGTTCAGAGGTAGAAGAGGATCAGGTTTAACTTGGACGGGGAAAGAAGGGGATTCTGCTCTTCTAAAGAGAACCAAGGTAACAGAGCTGACTTGTCATCTCCTAAAATACTCAYTAATTCCTTTTGGAGACATCAGAATGATGCAAGTGTTAGGTGGACGTTTGTTACTGAAACTGAAAATACTGAACAAAAATTTCTCTCCCCATCTCAAGGCATGTTGTAGGTACAGATACAGCCACGGAAAGCTTGCTAATATAACCCATATGTGATATTAGCAACATGCTACACCATTCAAGCTGGTTCTGTGAGCTGGTTGTGATTGCTGTCAATACCTCCGGTTCGTGTCTTCCCCATTTCCATGGTATAACCAGAACTCCTCTCCCACCAGCTTGRAAACCTGTAAAGACTGAAGATGAGAACCATAAGACACTTCACTTCGCAGCTTTATGAGGTTCTTTGCATTTCCTGGGGGATTTTGTGTGAATTTTTGTACGCTCCGTGGGGCAGGTGATAATGTGGAAGAAAGAGTGGTGACAGAAATTCATCCAATGTGAGTGCAACACATTTGTGGAGGTTACAACTCGAGGGATGTGTTGCTGACAGTGGCAATATGCTGCTCCGCATCCTGCGGAGGATACGGCAGGAGCTGGGGATTGGAGATTGGATTTTTTTTCCTTTGTTTTTTCTTTTTTTTTTTTCCTTTTTTTGACCTATATATCATTACACTGGTATAATAAGATGTTTTTAGCACTCTTTTGTGAAAGTATTATCCTAACTCCTAACTCCTGTTAATTTTAATTTTTCATGCTACTTATAATTGTTAAGCATGTGATATAGATTATCTCTCAAAGGCTAGCACTGCATAGGGATTTTAGATTATATGAAGATAATTCACTGAGATTTAGTTTTTAAGGATACATCTTGCAGTTAATATATTGGCTTATCTTAATCATTTTCCGGTATTCAGAATCTATGTCATAATCAGAATAAACTACCTAATACAGGCTACGRTTCACTGGTTTAAAGGGGTTTGAACATTATTCTGATGGAAGCTGAGCACTGATTGTGTAAAATAAATGAACACTTATTCTTAATTGCATTTCAGCTTTGACGTGTGCCTGAGCGAATGTTTATCATGATGATAAAGCATCAGTTATCAGGGTTTTTTTGTGCTGGTAGGCAGCCTGCTGTGAATAATAAATTCTGCCATTAGGAACCAATAGATTTGAATTTATTTGCGTCAGTTCTCAAGCTGAAATCTGGCCTGTTTTTATTGGCATAGCCTGGAACATCCTTTCCATAATGAATACTGAAGGGAAATTGAGGTAAGAAAAAATAGCTTTTCTGAATGGATACAGTGTTGTGGAAGTGCTTGTAGTTGTTACTTTAAGTGCTTATTTTAGAGRCTCTCTAACACTGAGCGTTTAGAATATATAGACTCGCATTTAGGAAAGATGTTAATGTGGTTGCCTACTTTAATGTGAATTGCAGCTATGCCAACAAAGCTGAAGGGAAAAGAAAAAAAGAAAAAAAAAAAAAGGAAAAAAGAAAAGACATGCCATTTAAGGGACAGTAAAATTCGTGAGTGAAGTTTTTACCCAACCTTATTTAGAAACTTGCTTAAGTGCACCGGATGCGGGGGGAAACCAGAACACACTTTTGGATTGTCATACCAAAGGCAGGAAGGTTCCCACACAGCCCTGCTCCTTATGTAGCTTCTGTTTCTTATTTAGATTTTGTTTTTAATACCCAAAAGCTTTTAGTGGTGTTCCGACAATCAGTCTGGAAATCTGTCTAAACTAAAGGAGGTTTTGTTTGTTTACTTAAAAGTGCTAACAGATCCGAGCAGTCCCACCACTTTTTTTCCAGCTTTGCACAATTTTGAAATAGACTCTCTTGATTCACAACAGATTGGACAGAAAGTGATTGGTTTTGGCCATTTGATTCTAGAAAGAAGTACCGAAGGCAGAGCTGAGCCTCGACACGTTTGCTGTGCACGATATCTGCATGTGATGGGAAATGTTAAGAAGCTCAATGCAGACTCCAAAGGTAAGAGAGACCACAAGGAGTTAAATGAACTGGTCTGGTTTACAGATGTGAGGCTAAATGCAGGAGAAATTAGAGCCCAGATCCTSAGGGAATGTGAGCAAACGTAAGGATGTTAAATCCCTTTAGTTCTCTTGACTCAGATGATCAGATGAAGACCCGGCTTTGGGGATTTATAGTTGCCAGGTAGAGATATGAAGAGTTGGGTATGTCCGACGCCACAGATCATGTGAAGAGTGATGATGATCAGTGTCTGCTAGGGAGTCACTGCAGAGCGGGACGGAGCAGGGACCGAGGAGCAGGGACCGAGGCCCTGAGCACCGCGCGGCTCTGGCCTTTCCCTCACGGGCTGCAGAGGGAGCGTGCGGGGATTAACGTTCCTGCAYGGACTGCAGAGGGAGCACGGAGAGATCATTCTGCTCCAGTTGAAATCAGCTTTTGTAGGTGGCCACCTCTTCATTTCTCCTGAGAAACGTTATCTGCAGGATGGGAGTGTAGTGTGAGAGTGAGAAAGTGAAGGAGGAAGGTACGTGTTTATGTCACATTTGGATAGCTTGGGAAAGGAGCGGAGGAGAAGCGAGAATGCTCCCAGGGCCTAGTCTGCRCTCTGAATTTCAGCAACTGAGAGATTTTCACTCCACTT